ATATTGGGTTGATGCGAGGGAAAAATCGTCCAGCTCAAACTTTGGAAGAGTTGCCGACTTGAATTGTGATAGTTTTTTAAATCAAAGAATTTTTTTACTTGCTTAATTTAAGATGAAAAGGAGTTCGGCTTTTCGGAAAGTTTTCTCAATTGAACGAGTTTAATTGATTCTTCATCCTTTGGGATTTAGAGCAAATATGTACTATGCAATAGTTTTATTGATGCTGTAGGATCAATTTCCCTCTTTATAAATTTGTTCACACAGAGGATAATATTTTTATAGAAATCGGCATGGAGGCCCTTTTTCATTGGCGGAATTGTGATCTCACTGTTTCTGCGACACTTCTGTTCGTCGGATTCAAGTCATTATTTAAGAAGTTTTTCAAAATAATCGGAAATATAATTTTCTCAAATGAGGAAATTTAACTTAGATCGAGATTAGAAGTAAGAAGGGTAAACCTGAATAACATACAAATTAAATAATTATTCACAATGTATCTTTTATGAATCAATTTTTGTAAATGAATTAATGCACGATTCAATTGTCTTCATTATATTTCCAAGATTAACTCTTCTTGTGAAATATTTCTAAATTAAATTGTTTAATTATCATGAACCTTCAGTAATTTGCATATCCAAACATCACTATCATCACTATGATCATTATCATCATTCTCATCACTATCATCACTATGATCATTATCATCGCAATCATCATTACCATCACTATCATCATTTTCCACAATTATTCGTATTATTCATAGTTATCACTATCATTCAAAATTATTTATAGTAACACGCAGCCTATGACAGCCCAAGTATCGCGGTTAGCTTTTTTTCATCGTATTTGAAATTTCCTACATGGAGAATTCATTATCTTCTTGCAATAATTGCATAGTTTTCAAGCCCAAATGTTCATTTCCGAAATTTTTCATTTAGTGCGCACATATTTTGAGTAATTTGGCATCCCTCTATTAATGAATGGAAAAATTTTAAATTTACTTCTGCACCTCGTTAGAGTATTGGCCGAGTCTCAAATGAAATTGTTTTTAAATTTCAAATCCTACTGATTTTTCTGTATTCTCAATTCACGCCGGAAAATTTTCTAAGCTGTGTCAAGCAGCGGCCCAATTTACTATTGCAACGAATTCATTTCTTAAATTTGCTCAAGATTTACAGTGGACCCGCCGTCAGTTTTTACTAGGACAAAAGGATTCCTATTTTTCTCCACGTTTCCGAGACAATCAACTCCGATTTGATCTGCTGAATTCAGTGCAGTGGTTTAGCAGCGAATAAAATCAAGCCTTTTCTGAAGCTACAAAATTTTTTTAAAATCTTGCCGTCGGAGCAGAGCTTATAAAGATTTTCTTCTTTTTTTCTACGAAGCGCCGTGGCTGGAACTTGCTTGGACAACTTATTGGTTCAGTGCAAGTATTTTTATCTGTGCATGGCAACTGAGCATTGCGACATTCATGCGTACATAAAAATTTCCTCTTTGCTTTTATTTAGTTTCCCTCACATCAAAAAATACTACTGATACCTTAATGTACTGTAATATGCCAATGTATCCAATATTTTCTGAGGGCTCAGTAGTCATTCAATCTCCGTTTTCAACAGATACAATTTCATATTCATGGTCATTTTTTAGCTTGGTCACCTTTTCTGAACAACATTGAAATTTTCTGGTAAGAGATAATTTTTTATGTTGAGTTACAAAGCACTTTCACCCGATACAATATTGAAGAATTGTGTTTTTTTTTTTGCAGGTCACCACAAGCGGACTACACTTCAGCAATTCAATACTTCATCTTGCTTCCAGACATCGTCCATCAAAAAATATTTCAATCGTCCATTTTCCTTCTTTGAAAACCTGGAGAAACGCCATTAACTGAGCCAATTGAACAAATATTCTATTAACTGCCAATAATTATGGACTATTGTGATCTACAGAAGGTAACTTGAATAACCTTGCTGCTTTATTCGCTAACAGTTCTGAACCTGTGCTTGATTAATTCACCCACCCGAACATAAATTTTAAAATTTTAATAAAATTACCCAATTTAACAAGAATTCATTTTTGCGATAAAATTTTTTTTTGTACCCTATTTTGACATTTATGGAGCAGGCAGATTTGCATGACGTTTGCTCTCTTTTTTACATTGTACAGAAAATATTGAACACTGGGATTTTCAGTGAAATTCTATCATTTTAATCTTCTTCAATGAATTTCAAACCGAACAAAGACCGACGAGTTTCTTTGATGGGATGTGCTTGAATTAATCCAGACTCTGCCGGCAACTTGTTTTCGGAATGTTTTTCTGTGCCCTGAAAATTGGACGTCGAATTCGCGTTTAGAAAAAAACATATCGGGATGGATAAAATTTGGCTTTGCGCAGGTTGGTAAGACGCGGTTATTCGCCACTGAATTTAGTGCTGAATAGCAGGAACTATTTTGAAAAAGATGAAAAACTAATTGAAAAGCAGTTGAAAAAAATGCACACTCTATTTCCAAAATACGTTGACGAAATGACATTTGTTTGAATTCCCCAGGATCAGGTCGAAAAATTTATACGCTTAATTTGAAAAACTGTGAGACTCGAAACTGATTTGTAAATCCCTGGCAACAGACGTGAAATCAGAAATGGAAGATGTACGTTTCCACATTTCTTATATGGATCTACTCGCTTAAGTTTACAAGTAAATGGTTTTCCTATACTAACGCACCCATAACTTGAATATATTTCGTACAAAAAATAAACACGACACAGGAATACCTAACATATCCCAGCCATTCATATTCAATAAATCCATAAGAGAAGTGAAGAACAGTGAACATTTCGCGACCCCGAATGTTCAAAAAAGATGAAACCTCGTAACGACAGAGATGACCCCGCCATTGAAGTGCTCCGTAAAAGAGTGGATTACTTTGAGACTTTCCGGTCGTGCCAAAAGGAGCACCCGACCATTACCGGTGACGAGGCATTGACAGATCCTCGAGGTGATTGTGAAACTATTTCCGTGAAAAAAGATGAAAGCATTCAGTGCTATCCAAAGGATTTATTTCATAAGTCTAGGATACACAAGGAATGTCGAGTGGACGAGCTCAAACTCTTGGTATATCTGAAAGATCCATCTGAATATTTACTGACGAATTCAAGGCATTCAGTAATTATAAACATGAAGCGTACCCCGACAAACTCTTGTCTTCCATCAAAGCATTTGAATTATCGTAGTAAATATTCTAAACTAAGTATCAGCAACAACCTGATTGGACAACACAAATCAATACATCCGAAGAAACAAGTCCATCTGCGAAATTCATATAAGAATAGCCAAAGATTTTATCATTTGAGACCGTCAAAAGAGATGGAAAACTTTGTCTTTCAAAAGTTGTCAAGCTGCAAGCAAAACGAAAAATATCATCGGGGCACGAGTAAAACGTTGTCGTTTGCAGCGAGGACCAAGAGTTTCTTTTTTCTTCAGCTTACGATAAACAAGGAGAGAAGGGACGAGGGCACAGCGGTAAGGCCTCAAAATCGAGTCAGAAGATGGGAAAGTATGGAGCTTTCTATCATGAAAACTCATCGTTGTTCTTTTGTGAGGGAATTTCCGCCGATAAAAGAGGTATTGAAGATCTGCGTCGATTGCAGATTTTGTGCCAAAAACTCCGAGAGCTTAAAGGTCAGAGAGCATGGCATGAGCAGGATCCCATTGAGGGATGCCCATCAAAGATATTGCATTGTGAAGAAAAAGGACGTAAGTCTGAAAACCCTCAGCTACAAAACGCTGTCAACAAAGCCCACTCCCAAGTTTTATCAATACACTGCAGCAGACTTTGGATTAAACCGAAAACCAAACATGGCAACGATGTTGCCCAAGAAGTTGTGTTCATCGACAACAAAACCTAAACACGGGACTTTCAGAGCTTGGCTTCTGCTGCGCCACATTCAGACAATGCGCTCAACAAAAAGGAATATATTTTCCATGCCAACCTCATTGCGGCTGAGAAAGTCTATTAACTTTCCGAGTAAGCGCACGAAAAAAACATCGATGCTGAAGCGTTGCCCTAAGCTTTGTTCTAAAGATGATATTGCGCATCTTCTAGTGCAAGTACCGGGTCAAACGAAACGATCATTCGTCTCTGTCAGTGAAATCTCACTTTGTTTGAGATACAAATGTGAAAATGTAATTCGCACCGACGAGAAGTTCAAAGAAATTTCCTCACCATTTCCATTCCCATTGCACCGAAAAACGATCTGCGCAATTCATTCTTTGACACCCACTGATATTCCGTTCTTCTTGCCATCAGAACAACGAACTGCTTGCCATTCGGCAACGTCAGGCTGCTCCCATAGGACTCGAAGCTCTGGCCGTAGATCCTTCCGCTCGGTCTCGCATTCCCAATCTTTTCAGCAAGACGCAGCTCTGGCCTCAATCTGTCCTATCCTTGAGCATTCAGCAGCGCTGGCACTTAGTGGTAAAGAATCTTGTCCCCAAGGGCCTATGATAAGCACTCTGGTGATACGAGACAGCACGATACTGGCTTCTGCTGAAACACCAAGTGCGGTTTCCCGGAGATTTATGGGCAGGCAAATGCCTAATCCTCTTGGACTGGAAACAACTAAAAATACTTCAAGCGATAAGACAGACGTCCGTGGACAGAGAAGTAGAGAGGACAGGCGAATTTGTGCATCGCAAAAAATGAAATTCAGGACTAATATTTTCACAAATGTTTTATCTCTCAAATACCTTGAAGGAAAAAAGGCTCGTGAATGCCAAAACTCCGGATGTTCAAATATTTCCAGTAATGATTGCCAAGCACAAAAGGAACAATTTTCAGAATCAAAGTCGGATCTAATACAAACAAGTTTTAAACTTGTAAAAAAAACTATTAAATGCAATCAATCTACCCAATGTGAAGTTGGCGAGAAACTATTTTTCAATAATCATGAGTGCTCCACAGGTGGAAAACATGACTCTATGCACTGCATTAAAGAATTTTCTGCCTCGGGTTTCGTGAAAAGTGTTTACACAACGCGTCACGGAACAACTGAGACTCACTCGCATTTTGAATTCACAAGATACAGAATTTTTGGGAAAAAATGCGATGCAGGAAGAGCTTCTATGTCGTCGCGCACATCAACTTCTCCCGCTGCCATTTGGAAGTCGCTCAAAATTCCGCGGCCTCTTTGTTGTTGTTGGACAGAAGCCAGAGGTTCATTTGAGGACCTCGAGGCAGTGGACGGCACGCAGCCCAGTCAACGAAACGTAATTTCACGTCCATGCAGCATTTTCCACAAAGAACTTCAACAATTACCTGCTTCTGAATGTGGCGTTGATTATCCAAACTGTGGCTGTTTTTGTGGCAATGGGTCGTCATCACAACTTAAGTGGCATTGGGAAGCTCCTGTCCTCATCAAGGCCACACCTATCATCAATGCGACAAGTTTATGTCCTGACTGGCATTTTTCGTTGCGTTCTTTTTCTTTCTGCCGTGAAGAGAAGGAAGAGCAAAAGCTTGTCATAAGAGAAAAAGACAACAGGCCTGCATCCAGTCCTTCAAAGATCGTCTATTGTTATGATGTTTTATTTCCGTCTTCAAAAATTTCGTCTACAAAAAGAATTGAAGCCATTGAGAGATTAGACCATGAAAAAACTTTTCGGTGCAACTTTTCTTCAAATCTCATTGAAATGGAGAGTGTAGCACGGGAGTCAAGACCCTCAAATTCCAACACTCGTCATCAGTTGCAGTTACAATTCAGCCAGTCTTCGACAGTCGCGTCGTCAAACCAGGTGGAGTATACGAGCAACACCTGCATTGATGAACCTGCTACTCTTGATGAAAATCCTTTCCACAACAATTCCAAAAGACAAAATGGCTTTTTATCTTCAGCAATAATTACTTTCAAACTAATTTTTTGCGCACTTGTCCAATTTATTGCTGAAAAGACTGAAAATTTGTCTGACCACTTTCCTTCTATAGAAAGTTACAGCAAATTCAAACACTTTATCACTGTTAACATTTTCAGCAAATTTTTCTTTGCAAAAACTCAAGGAATAGACTTCTTTTATCACAATCCTGAAATTAAATCTAATTCAAAAGTTTCTTCAAAGATTCATAAAGATTCTGTGTCGAATTTCAAAGTTGTACCACGATGCCCGAATTTCAAAGTAGTACCAAGATACCAGGGCATGGTAGCTACCAACAAACGTATCACTCACGGGCCGAATCTCGGTCAAGATAGACTGCAATCCCGAGTGAGATCTTCAATTACGGAATCCTCGACAAATTTTCAACTTGAAGACCACTACCAAAAGACCGTGCAAAGCTTCAACGTGTTGTATAAGCAACGCGCGGAATCCCAGAAGCAGGAGATGCTTCTCAAAGGACATTTCTGGCGGATTTTGTTCTCTTTGATGGTCGTGTTGTCGCTGTCGACGTCAGTGCTCGCCTGTCCCTCTGCCTGCGTCTGCAAATGGAAGGTGAGACCAAAAAACTTTGCTCTTTTATTCATAAACACAAAACAACTCAAAAACTTTGGTTGTTCTTTCATTTTTTATTGAAAACGATTAAAAAAGTACAGTGCTTGCTGCGCTCATATTTTTTGACTAATGCAGCACCAACACTACCGTTTATTCGTATCACTATCCCAACATAATACACGTTGAACAGAAAGCAAAGTTCTATTATTTTTCGAAATCAACATTTTATACTACGAATATTCTAATCATAATTTTCCATACATTGCTATAAAAAATATACTACAACGTGGATATTTTAGTATCGAACTTGAAAAATTACAAAACATTTAAGCGTATTTTATATATTGCATCCTAAAAACGAGATCGGTAAATGGAGGAGCGCTGTTTATTATGTTTTCTGTCATAATTACAACACTTTTCTTTAACTTCACTTCTTGTTTGTCTGTTTGTCTGTCTGTCTGCTACAAATCTTGTAATCGAAATTTAACACACTTCTACTTACCTTATCGATCTGAAATTTTGCATACTTGTTTAAAGTTGGAGACAATGCATGAATCCAATGTCAAAGTAAATTATTTTAAAAAGTAAAAAAATTTTTTTCAATATTAAAAAAATTGAAAAAATAATTTTGTCATCTACAAATCTTAAACTGATAGGTATTTGACACACTTTTACCTGTCTAATTGATTTGAAATTTTGCACACTTGTGTGAAGTCAGAGGCAATGCATGAATCAATTAACAGAATAAATAATTTTGAAAAAAAAAATTATATATTAAAAAATTATATATATTAAAAAATTTGAAAAGGTAATTTTTATAATTTTCGATAATTAGATAAGAAATTCATTGTACATCTGTAAGATTGGAGATACTGGATTCTTTGGAAGTGTTGTCTTTAAAAAGTAATTTTTAAACGTATATTATTTACTGATAAGTTTAAATATTGTTGCTTAAATTGTCTGCCTGTGGATTGGATCTGTTAAGTTGAGTAGACTTATTTTCTAAATCTAATTGAGAACACAATGTCTACATGTTCTTCTTTTCTAAGAAGCCACAAAATCCGAGAATTCTCCTTTTTAACATTTGTTTGTGACGAGTCAATCTGAACATTATGCAATTATTCACTCAAATGAATATCTAGACTAGAAATATTCAAAGGGATGTAATACCATCCTGCTCGTGTGGTTGGAGTGCGAGTTTCTCAACAGTGATACAACTCCACTCCACTCCAAAAAACTCCATTTATAAAGCTCGGCCTGGAGCGGCGAAGCTCTACTGGTTCACCGGGAAGCCAAGAAAACGTTTCTCCAAATGGGGAGTGTCTGCGTGCAATAAAAAATGATGCTGTCCTTTCAGTTTTATTTATGTTCGGATGTCAGCTGCGTGACGGTATTTATTTGCCAAACTTATTTAGTGAAATAGATTTTAAAAAGTTAAATCTCAGTGAGCGTGATTTCGGCGGAATGGAGTGGCGTGTTGTGGTGCAATTTGTTGCCAGTCTGCGCTATTGAATTTTTGAGTCTTCAATTCAATTTGTTGCGAAATTTTCCTACGATAACTTCTGTGAATTTTTCATTTTTTTAAAGGCTTTTAAATATGATTGTAACAATTCAATTAAACCAAGAATTGAATCATCTCAATATGACGGTTTTGTTGGTTTTCTCAATTTATAAAGACATAGAAAATAAATATATAAACAGATAAATAAAGTCTGGCCATGTGCATAAATTTGCACTAATAAACCGTAATAAAATCAGTTCGTAATGCAAGTGTAAAGAAGTGTTTTTGTGCTACGTTAAAATCAAAGTAATTCAATCTAGTCGCGCAGCTGTTTACTATTAACATAGGCATGAGGCGCTACGCTGCCTCCTTTACATAGTGCCAATGTTGGAATGAACTAAAAGTTCATTTCGTTTCCGTTCAGAAGCTTTAGATAGAAAGTTTTGGCCCACACTTGGGGTGAATGGATCACAACATCGACTTCACTCAGTAGCGCCTATGAGACTTGAAGCGACAAGGCCATCTTTGCTCCTTCAAACATGCGTGATCCTCAGCGCAATTACATTATAATCAGAGCAACATCAATTTATAAAATTAAATGATGCCGCACAAATAATGAATATGCTGCAAAAATTATTTTAATCACCTCAAATGCTGTTTGCTGTTTTCAATCGCTTCAAAAATTAAAAATACATTCAATGTTGTTTTTAATAGTGACCATTAATATAGTCGATACCGATCATGATTTACTAATTTAATATATGGGTTATTAAATTTCACTATATATGCAGGGCGTAGTCTGCGAACATTAATATTTATTTCCCGCACTTGATAGATAATTCATGATATTAGCATGATTTTCTCTTATGCCCGAAATAATTTTCTTTTACCGACGAATTCACTAAAAATTAAGTGGTCTGTGAAATGATTTACATTCTTGACGAGCTAGCCAATCATTTGCCATTTCAAGGCTTCTGTACAGAAATCTGGAGGCCATAAACATGTTTCGTTGTAACCACATAATCGCTTCCGCGTCTTTTCCTCGAGCAAAAGTAGGTCAGCATCCAGAATTGCACTGACAATATTATTTTGAAACTCGGGGCACAAACTTATTTTCAAATATATTCTGTGAGTCAAACAGAAAAGATTCGAGGCTTGTTTATGGGAAGCCCTTGAAGACTACACGCCGTGGCCACATTCAGAGCTTGTGATGCTGCTTGCATTTTTATTAACATCGAAGAACTGCAAAGAAAGACTAGCTTCCAGCTCTAGAAAATTCGCTCTGCATATCTGGATTCGAATGCGTTTTGCTTCAATGCGGGGAACGTGAGAAGAAAGTTTACGTGATGAGATTTGTTTTCTGGAAATTAAATATTTCTGAAGCCTTATGTTATTCTTAGAATTCGGTGTTTCCTACACGCACCGCGTAGAACGTGAAAAGAAAGTCCTTTTAACAAGATTAGTTTCTTTTTAAATTTGAGAATTTAAAATGATTGCTGGAAATCTGGTTTCATAATAATTATTACAATTTCGTAAAACGTACGAAGAAATTATTCATCTTGAGATTTAATTGTAAGAGAAAACGTCCTCATAAATATTTATTCGAATAACATGAGTTCTGAGAACATTATTTCTTGGATAACAGAATTTCATGTTTTTATTATTAATTTCAATTTTATGCTATCAACAGATATTCAGACATCCTGAACCATCACAGTGGGTTAGTTTCAATTTTAAACTGTACTCTGCAAACATTTATTTTGTTTTTATTTGTTGACTAACTGAACGGTGTTTTTCATGACTCGCTAGATCACATTTACCATTTATTCAGTTGCAAAAATACCGAAAAATACCATAAGCAAAAATACCGGAAAGTAGGTAGGTAGGCTTCATCTAGGATCACGAGACAGACTATCAACTCATCATTGTACACTAATTCATTGAATAAAGAAACAGAGCAATTCTTTAATTGAAAGATAACCTTAAATGTGTTGCAACAGGGCGGCAAGGAGACGGTGGAGTGCGTAAACAAAGGCCTGGCCAGTCTACCCATCGGCTTGAATACCGAGACGCAGGTCCTGGACTTTACTGGCAACTCCCTGGGCATACTGTCGCGCGAGAAGTTTAAGGTGAGTTCTAAATTATTTAGACCTCAATTATTTAGACCTCAATTATTCAGACCTCAATTATTTAGACCTAATTAATTTAGACCTCAATTATTTAGACCTCATTTATTCAGACCTCAATTATTTAGACCTAATTAATTTAGACCTCAATTATTTAGACCTCATTTATTCAGACCTCAATTATTTATTTTCCTTATTTCCTCAATTTTTCCAATTATTTTCCAATTTTCCAATTATTTCCTCAATTATTAAGACCTCAATTATTTATTTTTCCTTATTTCCTCAATTTTTCCAATTATTTTTCAATTTTCCAATTATTTCCTCAATTATTTAGACCTCAATTATTTATTCTTCCTTCTTTCCTCAAATTTTCCAATTATTTTACAATTTTCCAATTATTTCATCAATTATTTAGACCTCAATTATTTATTTTTCCTTATTTCCTCAATTTTTCCAATTATTTTACAATTTTCCAATTATTTCCCCAATTACTTAGACCTCATTGAACGTGAACCCGACCTCATGTGCAGTGGAAAGTTAGTAAAAAAAGATGCTCGTCTATTCAATTTAAAGTAAACTGAAAATTAACAGGAGAAAATGTTCGGATATCTTCAGTTTAAACTAAGTTTATTCATTCATCTTCAAAGACAAGCAAGCTAAATTTAAAATAATTTGAAAGCATGCGATTGATCGATTTTATTTTGTCCGGTAAAGATTTTGAATCTGATATCGTGCACGTTTCCTAATTTCATCAACTTGATTTACTATTCTCCTTTCCATGCAGTCAATTTTAGAGACATTTAAAATCATCTTGATCTTTTTAGCGCATTTTCTCATTTATGAAAAAATGCACTATTGTGCTTGCCATGTCCGTCTGTCCGTCTGTATGTCCGTCCGTGACTTCATGTTTTCGTCGACTAGAAAATGCGCTCTCTGTCACTCACTGCAGTGAGTACTGAGTTATATTTTTTCTGTGCTATGTGTAAATTTTCATCTTTTCCTTTTTCAATACACCAAGGACAATTCTTCTGAGTTCTGATTATTGCCACAAACTTCAACGAAATAAATAAAATAAATAAGTGTACTTCCATCAGGAAGGAATCTTGAGCGCCTCTTTCGATTCGGCAGCGCTCGGCAATGAAGACACCAAACTCTCATAATTTTGATCATAAAGCCGGGCTCATGCGGTCTTGCAGGAAAGAAGTTTTTCAATAACGGCTTGACTATCACAAAAGCTTCGCTGCGCCTTCGTTAGAAACTGGCTTGTGCTTGGCACCAGGGTGGACATTTTTGATCAAAGTTGCTCGAAAGTTTCCGCTACCATTTGAGTTCACTTCGTTTGATTATTTGAGTCCTCCAGCAATTCTGAGATCTAGGGAAAGGCGTTGAAAATTGAATTTAAATGCTAATTTATGCCAATGGAGGCATTTTCTTATTTGAACGGAGATTTTCTTGGAGCTTTCTAATGGAAATGTTTAATAATTTCAAACACACCAAACTTTATCGGAAATATTTACCATTATTAAATGTCTGAGTAATTTTATGAATACTCCCATTCCTCCAGTCCTATACTCCGACTGCTCCAATTAGTTGTGAGTTTATTTACTATTTCTAAATCATCTTGAAAATTTCTGCTAGTTCAAATTTGTGATTTTAATTTAATTTTTTCCATTTGTTTGAATTTGAGACCTTTCTCTGCGAGCACGTACAGTATGCCAAACAAACTAAAACAAAAACCTTCTTCTCGATAAATGTTCTCCACCAAATTTTATACGGTGATGGTCAATAAGTATTAAAAAGCACAGTTTGTAAGTAGGTACTTTGGACTGTCCAATCTCAATTTACAATAAATTTTTGCGACCCATGTTTTTAATTTTTTTTTTCAGTAAAATTTTCTTGAGTGCTCTCCCGGAAATGAAGCCAAATAGCTATAACACTGAAATTCTAACACCATAGAATTATAAAACTTACTAATAAATGCATTGCAAAGTTGGCTACGCTGAGCAAGCGTTGGCGCAATCTTCGTGTGGGAAAAACGCCTAAAAGTTTAGTATCGTCAACCTCACGATTCAGCAGATCAAATCTCATTTTTGGTGTAAATTTTTTGGCATTTGCAACTTAAGGAAGGAATAAGATGTGTATTTTTGCTTTACTGTCCTCCACTTACGAAAATATCAACATTTTGTTAGGTTCGATGATACCATAATTTTTCTTATGGATGTATAAGGAAGCAAATTGCGTTCCAGCTTTTTCTTGTTATTGCCTAAATTCAAAAAATAATTGAGGTTGCATCGCTACGACATTTTAGCGCCATTCAATGTCACAAAATCATTTAAGACAGAACTTTGCTGTTTAACACTTATTTTTAATCGATGTCCCAAAACTTGTAATTTTCAAACAGAACTTCCTTGGCTGCATACGTAACCATAAAGAATTCTACATATATAAATTGTTGATCATGCATTTACTTAAATCGATAAATTCATTAATTTCAGTGAATTTTATTTCATCTTTTCAGATCATGGGCCTTATTAATCTGCAACGTATCTACGTGTCCCGCTGCAAACTCGTGCAGTTGGACGACGCGGCATTCCGAGGGCTGAGCAATCTGGTTGAGTTGGATCTTAGCCATAACGAACTTAACATGGTTCCCGCGGCCGCTTTGGAACACACTGCAGCGCTCATGAGGCTTCTTTTGTCCCACAACCCAATAACCCAAATCAGAGACGGAGCCTTCAGCAAACTTCAGTCCCTAATGTCCTTAGAAATGACTGGCTGTGCTCTGCAGGTGCTTGAATCGAGAGCTTTTCAGGGTTTGGATAAGCTTGAATGGTTGAAGTTAGATGATAACCTGCTAACTTCTGTGCCCGAAACAATGCTCCTACCTAAGATGCTACACGGGGTTGATCTCCACAACAATCCATGGAACTGCGACTGCAAGCTCCAACATTTAAGGTCCTGGTTAGTCAAGTACAATGTACCCTCCTCCATTGAGCCTAAATGCTCCACACCTCCGAGACTGGAAAGTCAAATTATCAAGCATGTCTTCCCAGAGGACTTCGCTTGTCCTCCTGAAATTCGCCCCACTTCTTTATTTCTCGACGTGCAGGAAGGAAAGAACGTTTCTTTTGCATGTCACGTCGTTGCCGAACCATCAGCCGATATCGACTGGAGGTTCAATGGGTATCCATTACAGAACAGTTCATTCATTTACGATGATACGACTTCATTCTACATATACGAGGACCGAGAAATCAAAGAAGAAACTGTCAGTTACCTAAGAATTGAAATGGTTACTGTTGCTCATAGTGGCATATTTCAATGCGCCGCTGAAAATCTAGCAGGCAAAATGATTTCAAACTTCACATTGCGTGTTAGCGTTCCTCCAACATTGCTGGTACCTAAAGACTTCATCGAAGACAATTTCAAGTACATTGGGTTTGCATTGGTCGGGTTAGTAGTGTTAGTTTTTGTACTTTGCTGCATTTTGCTGTGTAAATGTTGTCGCAGAAAGTCCCGTAATCACTTGCACAATAACCTCGATGCTTCTACTTCCACAAAGACTGAGAAGGTAAAAGTGCAAACGGGTGCGGCAATCAGCGCAATGCCGAAGTATATCCAAATGGGAACACCGACTCCCAAAAGCAATGGCATTGCAAACATCGGAGCCCCAATATCCGTCATTGGGGCATCTCCCTATCGAAGCACTCCACCCGGGGCTCCGCACCCCAATCCTGACATCATCTCTGACAGCTCAGTCGAGGAAAGAACAAAACCCAAGAAGAAAGTCAGCATCATGGGCGTCGAAGAGGTGGATCCGAATGGCGTCATCACGACTCGGAGGCTAAATGATATAGTCGAAGAATACGAAGAAAACTTCAGTGCCTCTTACGACCAAAACATTCCAAATCTAAATGAATATGATCCATCGCAGGAAGGCATGAACCCATACTCGAACATATCAAGTTGTAGAATAATTTCGAACACAAACCCATACCCACTAATTGATTTACCGTCCAACGATATGCGGTGTTCTAACATGCCGATGCAAAGTCGTTGCTACGAGGTCGAAACTTGTCCGTCTGCAAGTTATCCCTTACCTAAAGATGATGCATGGCTTGAAATCAACGGCAATCGCTCCATGGACGCTAACAATTTGAAAGGCAATCATTGTGCTCCAGCTTATGCCACTTTACGCAGAAGTGCCAAAGCCTCTGCAATACCTCGCAGTCACTTACTCCACGACTCCAAGTGTAGCTCTGAAGAATACCCCATGCACGTAAGTCAATCTCCGTACCAGAGTGCAGGTGGAAGATTCACTCCTGGCTATGGAGTTATAGTAGAAAAATATCAAAGCAACGGAACCACACCTACTACTGCCTCTACGTCTTTGACTGATTGCGATTGTTGCTCGGGACAAAAGATGTGTGATGCCTCTGATACGTCAGGACGGATAAGTGGTGATGGGTGCAGCTTTGACAATCTTTTAGGCCCATGCGCCAGAGTTGGAAGTTCTTCGAATTGTTGCTTCGTCGAAACTAACGGCCAAGTTTTCGATAACAGTTTACCAGAGAATTATACGGCTCTCAGCAGCAATCCCGTCGTTGGAGATCCCGTATTCTTTGGGTCTCCTGGGCCATTGCCTCCTGAAGGGTATAGAGACAGCGATTGTTCGAATAATGAATTCGTGAAAGACAACAATTCTACTCCCTGGGATAACATGCCCCTTTCCCCTAGTACACGAATACTTTATTCTCCTGAAGAAGGCTTCAGTAATGTCTTAAGTAACTCATCAAGTAGCGAAAACAAAGCATGCATTAAACAGAAAACTGGTATGAGCAATCATGAGGTTTTGCCTCCTGCAACTCAGGTGTGAGTTATAGTGTAACTGCACTTTAAACTAATACACAACTCTTAGATAAACGTTATTGTTACACTAGTTGTTTGGTGTTGATTATAGATTTCCTGTCTGCATCTGAAAACTATATTTCTATGATAACCTTTCATTCCTGTTTTTATTCGCCCCGTTGTAAAAATTCAATACAAATCTTAGGAGTAAAGGATAACTATTAACTCATATTCTAAAACCATTTGTTCTCTATGGAAAAAATTTTTACAAAAAATTCTACGTAGGGACAAATTTTCTACAAAACAAGGCTGAACTTTGTTCGTTATATGAAATTAGTTTATGAATCTTAATAATATCTCTGAAAAGTATGTTATTCGAGGAAAGTCCTAGGGAATATTCTATCCATCTGTGATTTAATAATATATTTTACGCTATCGAATGCTTATCTGTAAATAATGCTTGTAGGCATTTGGAAGTATATGAAATATTATATGCCTGAACCATTGGTATGGTTATGAAAAAACTTCTTCACAATATTCATTTCGCGTGAGTATTTTCTATTTGTACATAACTTATTCATGAAACATGTGACATACTTTTGTAAATATAAGTAAAACCACCAGTAGGACAATCTTATATTTATCTTAGGAGGTTATATGTATAAGGGAAGAATTTTTTCAGTCCCGTTAATAACTCATGGTTTTTAATTAATAATTGTATAGTGCCTAAATTGATCACGATTGGTGACGAATGTTCCCAACCACTCGATTCGCTGAATATTTATAGGTATCTTTCCTAATTACTTGAATTAACATACAATGCAATTATCGTAAATTCTATTGAAATTCTCGTTGCCTCATGCGATATAGGGGATAGGGTAACAACATGCAAAACTAATCGCACCGCAAAATGAGAAAATGATGGGCACTGAAACGAGTAAAAATATTGGACACCTCAACAAACGAAAATAATGTATCCTGCAAAATGCGGAAATAAAGGGCATTGCAATATGATAAAATGATAGGCCGTGCAGCATGTGAAAATAATGGGCCCTGCAACATGTGAAAATTATTTTCATTTAAATGAATAATGGCCATTGAAAATAATATGGGGCAATAATGAGTATGACAAAACACGATACCAGTGAAAATTGTCACCACTAATGTGTAGAATAAAATTATGTTTGATTGGTGCTCGAGTGCAGTAATTACAGGAAATAATTCATTTCGCTATAGCATATTTTTATAATTCGTACAATTCATCCCTAGTATATTTATTTGTTCTCGTTGCACACTTTCTTTGGATTGTAAGCTGTTTATATTTTTTCCCTCTATTACTCATTGTCAAGCGGCGCCAGGGTCGTGTTCGGTATTATGATTCGATATCAGTTAAAGTTGTGAAAAATCCAAACCAGTTATTGTTTAAAATTGTTTATTTCATTCTTCTTTGATAGTATAAACGCATCAATTAGTAATCGCTCTCCCGGTAAATGATATAATTTCGTTTTTATTTATACTGTTCCCTAGATTACCGTGACATTATTATTTTTCTGATGACAGTAATAGTTCCATTTAAATAGCGCCGTTGTGCCGTGAAACTTAAAGCAAAGCTAATAGACTAATTAACTTACCATTAATTGGATTAAATGCAATTCACTTATTAGGTGCGAATCCTAATAGGCACTTATCAAATTTCTGAATGTCATATCATGACATTTGTTCTCGCCTGTAAAACTAAATCAGTTATTTTCAAATAAAATTTTTAATATTTCAATTTTCATAGCACGTAGGTAGAAAGCAGAGCTTGTTTCCTCGGTAATATCATTAATAAAAAGTTCACTGCTACCTGCATTATTTATCGGATGTGGCGTTTTAAATTTGTATACTACGTACATCCTGCTAGTTAGGATACCACTTCACCCCAGTGAGTAGAGTTCAGAAATTATCTCAACTACGAATACATTTGTTACGAGTTCATTCTCTCTGGGGAAAATAGATGCAAAGTTTGCTGAGTCCCAATTGTGAGACAAGAAACTTATGTAATGGCTGTATCTCATTATTCAACTTGAGTTCGAACCACGTTTTCTAACAAACTTTAATGTATTAACAAAGAGATGGTTATGTAATTCACGAGTTTATTCCCCCGATATTGTAATTTTAGCTTTTGAATTCATTCACAACAGCGGCTTCACATTTATAAATGTATTAAATTTCATAAACAACGCCAATTTTATATCAGTACAGTGTTAAATATTCATTATATTTATCTATTTATTCAGTCATTTATTAGTTAGTTTTAGCAATATATTCAAATCAACCATGCGTAAATGATTCGATCTAATTATTCAAACGAGGATTTTTACCTTAAGAAAGATTGATGGTTTGGAGTCACGATTGTGATTGCAATATTGAAAGGCCTTTGGAGACGTACGGAGACCTTTGAGCAATGAGCATGTAACCTTTGACCTAGTCAAAATAAAACTGATGTAAAGATCGTCACAGCCGTTGTTAGAAATCAATAAAATAACAATTAAAATCATAATGAAGATAGATTTTTTAAGTTAAATACGGCACTTAAGGAATAAAATCTTGAATTAACCCCATTTATCTTCCCGAATTTTTAAATGACTTTTTCAAACTTTGAAAATGCAACTAAATTTAAAAATGTTTTAGGGAATCGTTGATATAAAGAACAAGGCCCCAAATTTGAATTGAGGGCTTGAGGTCATGACTTCATGACTGTGACATGGTCATTTGCACTCTGGTGCTCATATGTTTAATGTGTACTCGGGACGCAGGAAAAGATAATCTCATTATTTGTTGCCCCATAAAATATAAATACTGAATTAAAAAGGGAATTAACTAACCACTTTCCAAAAATTTATTTCCAAAAATTGTAAAACAGTTCAATCACTGCAAAATAGAATGAAATATTTAATTTTGTCGTGACATGTTTCTTTACTATTTACTTGAGCGTATGTTATTGATTCATTAGGACCTATGATAGTATTTATGCCCGCAGTTCAACGGTACGGTACCGTTGCTTGCATATTCAGCAAGCCATGCCAGGATGAAATTGAAAATTTTAATAAAATGAATACATAATAAAGGAGGCTAAAATATTTTCAGTGGATTTTTTGACTTCATATTATCATAAAAAAGGCAGATATGGAATACATTAGCGAAATTGTACATTGATAAATTCTGTTGCTGTTGACCAGCATTTTGTAACAAACCTTTGTAGTACAGCTGTAATATAGGAGATTGAATCAAATCTCTTAAACTGGAAATCGTGTTTCATTTCAACCACTTTTTGGGCTCCATGCTGAAGGAACATGAGCAAAATACCTAATTTCATGGTAAACTCTGATCAACCTGAGCTCTTGCGTCACAAAAATCGTAATGTGCATCGATATTTTAATAAAATTTTTATCGACAGAAATTAATCTAATATCACCTTATATATATAACTTTCCATTCAAACTCCGCTCAGGGTACAAATAAGAAAATACGTAATTTCTTGTTCGAGTCATAGGATAGAAAAAAATGACTGAAGTTTCGTGCGTTAATTTCGAATCTTCCAACAAAGAATTTCGTGTAACGTACGTTAAATATTTTCAACATCTTCAATTAATCACCCTCCGGTCCAGAGCACGACTTCAGCCGCGGCTTTCATGTCGCTGGCCCGGCCCCAATAAGCGATATGAAGGAGTCTGGCACAAAACATATCCGATAAACTCCCTGGACTCCAGGTTCAATTAAAGACTACCGGATCGCCTCTATTAATTGTTTTGGCTCGACCAAGCGCCAGTTAAGGCCAGCTACAAAACTCTTATTGAAGTAAGGGTGGCGTCGCTTTCTCTATACGCACGGATGAATTCAGAATGCTTAGTAAATAACATGGAGCTTTGGATTTCAAAACGTTCTTTGATAAATCTTTTCTGAGGACTTTCAATGGATGTTTTACATCGTTCTAAATAATGATCCAAAGAATCATGACTTCCAATATTCAATTTCCGTTGATGATATTTCACATGTTGGCATAAACAATTCCTCTTCGGATCTTTATGTGTTTGATTCGACTGCAATATACGTGGCCCTTGTACCGTAATTGATGCTATTTTTCTCTATTGTTTTCCGGAATTTAAATGTAAACTTGCGAGTAACAATGAAATCGCTATTTTTATTGATAATCCTAGTTCCTCAATCACTGAATGAAATTGCGTAAGGACGCTCGAATCGATTAAGAAATTCACAATAACGAGGCAATGACTGTGTCGTAAATTAGGATTTATGAACAGTTTAGGAGGCCAATAATTGTCCAAATTATCTTTACCTAGAATCCTCAAAAAAGCAAGAAATTTGCCGAGATGTATTTGGTATATCATATAAAAAATTATTTGACGTTTTTTGAGGTAAACTAGTTTGTTGAAGAATCCTAATCGCAAAGTAAGTGTTACAAAGGAAAAATAACCATGACAAAAATTTAGCCATGACAAAATTCAACAATGCCAAAATACTTTCTGTATGAAGCTAACTATATCAGAAGGACGCTGATTATCTTTCTAAAAATTAACATGGCTAAATTAATTTAAATAAAAGGTTAGATGTCATGTTGCATAAGGGGCCAAACTTCAAGCGAATAAATAAACCAAATTATCTTAAATCAATACACTCACGAAGCAAGAACGCAAAACTCAAAAATACCAACGCAAAACTCAAAACTCAAAAAAATTGTAACTAAAAAAATTGATTAGCACTGAAATTTTTAAAATTAAACTAGCCTTTACGCTATACACATTTTCATTCACAGCTATCAAAATTTTACTATTTCCATCTAAAATTAGGATATATCAATAACTGAATGAAAATACGGTTTATTAACATGAACAAATCAAAGATTTATTAACATGAACCTTATCTTATCTGCCATCACTCAGGTGCATTGTCAATTGGCACAATTGAAAGCCATCCATCATTGCTATTACGATATGCATGTATTCCCAGAACATAACTCCTTGAAAAACTCAAACAAATATTTCAGAAAAAATCCAGCAATACATATGGATCATATGGAATTCTTATTAAAGAAGAACATACACAGATAAACACGAATAATGGTTCATACTGGACACGTAACTCCTTCTCACTTTTGTCGGACTTGGGATCAGGAAGCCGCCCGCTCCACCGCATTACTCGTCTATAAGGCGCCAAGAGGCGACCTTCGATTGAGATTAGGGAAGACAATTTGTCCTCTTACAGGACGGGAGGATTGTTCTCTTACAGGACGGAAGGATTGTCCTCTTACAGGACGGAAGGATTGTCCTCTTACAGGACGGAAGGATTGTCTTGGATTGCGATAAAGTTGGTTGCCTTGGCTGGACGTCGCTCCTGCAAACAGACCCTAGCAACCATACCGGGAATGTCGGAAATGAACGCGGGGGGACTTTGAGGAATGAGCTTGACTGGAAAGTGAAAAACACAATTTTCTGAGATTAACATGTGAATTTCCTCATAGGTTATTCAATTATACATGTATGATGATGGATGAGAATAAGTGAGTAATTTAGAAAAAAAAATTCAGAAACGATTTGCTTGTAATTTTATTTGTAATAGTCAACTAACTTGAATGATGGATTATTCATGTTAGTTGACTATTCGGTTATTGAATAACCACCATTACAACACAAATATTGCCCCTGGAAACCATCTCCAATTTTCAGGGCCCAATGATAAATTCTCTGATGGAAAGCTTTTTCCCTTAAATTTGTAAATTGTTTATCATGTAAAACCAGGAAAAACCTTTTTGGCAGTTGTTGAGAGTCGCCACACGGCAGTTTCCTGAACGAAGTCGCACAGTTTGTCACCGCGCTTCAGCACTTAGCCATTGACTTATGACCAGAGGCTTTAAACGTACGGCCAACCACTTGGTCTACGTTGAAAGAGTGGAAAGTTAGACAACTTATTCACAGCGGGACCAATATTTAGTTGTTTCATTTATTGTTTATGTTTCTATATTTATAGTCTATACATAGCAATTTGTTCAAGTATTTTCAGAATCCCATTCTAACAAGGGCTTTTCGTATTAAAAAAAACATGTTTAAATTTGCATAAAGTATCGTGCTCTAGTTAATTTCGATTTAATTCCACTCGAATTTATATTACTATCTGTGTTATAATGAGAGGAAAGCTACCTATTTTCATAAGGTAAGTATTAAGCACCGAAATTAAGTAAAAATTCGTGGTCATACTTTCAAAACTGGCTAAGTGAACGTAAGTACGTACGCTCTATTTTCTTGTCTGTGATTGGTGGATTTTGCTTGAAAGGCCGTCAATGATTGACTGATGAACTTACGATCTCTTAACTTTTTAGCGCATTTTCTCATTTATGGAAAAATGCACTATTGTGCTCGCCATGTCCGTCTGTCTGTCTGTCCGTCCGTCCGTCCGTGACCTCAAGTTTTCGTCGACGAGAAAATGCGCTCTCTGTCACTCACTGCAGTGAGTACTGAGTTATATTTTTTTATAAGTATGGGCCCTGTAATTTGAACCAGCACCCATGGCGACCACATCACAGAACCTGTGCGCCCTGACCCGCCGAGATGACGTAGGGAACCTGAGTAATTTATGCCGCTGCCTCAACGTTAAAGACACACAGCCTGCCACAAAGAGCCTCCTAAATCACGAGGATGCACGAGTTTGTGACAAAATATCGTCGCTTTGTTCTGCCCATATGACGGAAATGTTGCGTCTCATTATATGATAACATGCTTTAAAAGAGGCACATACACGTCTAACATGTTTTCAAAAAGGCACACGTCTAACATGTCTTCTAAGAGGCACACTTATATTTCTAAGTGTTACCGTTCAACTCCTTGCAATTGCTGGGGTGTGTACATGTGAATATACCCAGCAAAGCAAGCGTCACTATTCTTCAGGATAACTTCTCTTGCAGTTTAATAAAAAAAGAAAAAAATTCTGGTCTAGGCGATGGAAGTAAGCATTATATGTATGTCGTGTATGAACTCTTATCTATTTTCAATTAAAAAATGGGTTAACATGACATCCCTATTATAAATCATTATCATTGTAGAAAACCCCTTATGGCCAACCAGAAAATCCGATGATTTTTATTTTGGTAAGAGCGTCAATTTCTAGAGTTTGTGTCACTCCTTTAAATTGTACACGTTTTGAGAGTTGAGAAATGATTGTCGGTAACCTGCTCATAAGACAATCGACGCCGGCTCTTCATATACAGATGTTGTGATTGCACGTGATTAATGTGGTGTTGTTTTGTCTTAAACTGTTAATTAACCTTTATTCTAGTGAGGAGCAAGATCTTAGCATTAATGTACGTATCTTTGCAACGGCATTGAGGATTTTTACAGAGTTAAAAATCGCGTTATTGCTCTCATTTTGTCTACATTTTACTTAGTCCTACGATATAAGGTCACACTATGTATTTGCTCTAGTTTTTTTGGTTAGTTCTCCTACGTGAACAAAATTGTATCTTGTTCTGATAATTATAAAAGAAATTTTTCTGATCGACCTACCAAAAGTGCACTATTCTTATAAATTAATAAAATTTCCCCTGACATTTCTGAGTTAACAGCTCTTAAGAAAATACAGTCATGATGTGGAAGAGTGGAAGATTACCAGCGTTCATTGCCCTCTCCATCTTCATGATCTTCAAGCTCTCTCTTGTCAACTAAAAAGACTAGAAACTATTAGGCTTGACTGTCACGTTGATCAGATTCAATGGCCAGTTATATTCTTTAATTGACATTATGTTCAACTTAACGAGGCTTAATTGGATAACACGTCATTTTCTTCATTCACCGAAGCATTCGGAGTTGAGTTTGACGTATGATTACTGACAACAACAAGCATTATCGTATTGGCGACGATGTCGTGACGATCTCTGACGATAAGTACGATGATTGAGTTAAGTGCGATTACGAGCCACATAATTGTTCCTGTAATCGAACGCGTCCAAGTATACACAAGGTTAAGGTGATTCCTCTAAGGTTGTTCATATTGGATGATTAACTACCATCTACATATTATCACCTTCAATAAATCCATTATCGAACCCAAAACAATGTGTTTATTCATATAAAGTTATTTCGAACTTTACAATGCTTGGTATATACTAAAATGATGAATTAATGCTAAATTACCTCTTCAATCCGCTTACAATCAATTCAATAATTATTTCATTATTTACCTTACAAATCGGTTCCTGACATTTCGATAAGAGAGTACGAAAATTCCAGTCTTTTTATGGTCCTTGTCTTGGTTTATTTGATAGAATAAAGGTTCTAAGTCTCCAGTATTTATTTTAATCAGTTGGAGATTGAAGAGTACAAATTTCATGTAGCGAACGCCTCTATTTTCAAGATTTGTTTCTGTCAGGTAAAATTTAAGGAGAATATTATTCAAATATTGCAGAGTATTCTTTTAATTTGCAGTAGCAATTTAGAGTCAATGGTGGATGGGAAAACATTTCATGCAACGTTTGCGCGTCAACCTTCCTGTATTTATTTTTTTTAGTTAAAAAATTGTGATTTTACAGCACAAAGTTGCAGGTTGCAGCGCAAGTGTCAATTATTCATTGTTTTTCGCTCCCAGTTTTGGGTAGTCTGTCAGTATGTAGGAATGAATAGTATATGACAGTCAATAGTATTATGCTTATTTTTTTTTCTCCCAGCTCGTGAATTTTTTCCGCTGTCATCTTTTAGTATCTATAGTTAAAAGTTATAGTTTAGTTCATCTTTAGTATTTACTATCTATAGTTTTTGTTTATCTATTATATTTACTGCCTACAGTTCCATTTTATCTTCAGTATTTAGTATGAATTACAAGGAGAATTACAAAGGAGGCAGGCAAAGAAAATGCTATAGTGGTCTACTAGTTGTCGCAATCTGTGTCTATTTCCTTTTGTTTCTCATTGACATCTTCATTGTATAGTGTAACTTCTGATACAAAACGAATTTCTACTATAGATACTGTAGTTTAGCATCTACAGTCTTAGTTTATCTATAATATAGTATCAATAGTTTTAGTTTATCTATAGCTTTAATTTATCTATAATTTTAATTCATCCGTAGTTTCAGTTCATCTATAGCTTTGGTTTATCTATGGTATTTAGTATCTATAGTTTCAGTTTATCTATAGTTTTAATCAATTTACAGTTTTAATTCATCCATAGTTTTAGTTTATCTATAGTTTTAGTATCTATAATTTTAGTTCGTCTATATTTTAGTGTATCTATAGCATTTAGTATCCATAGTTATAGTTCATCTTTAGCCTTATTTGTTGTGGATAATATTCTTTCTTTGATTTGAATGCTTTTAGTCTGTTCTTCTCATTTTTCATCTCAAAGCTAAATAATGCTGTTCATTTCACTATAAATTTAATAAATATTGTGACACATCACATGAATTTCCTGGATCTGTGCATCAGTGCAAATATCCATCATCTCCTTGGGGGATATTTCTATCCGTACAATCTATCTCGTGGAATGACACAGGGCCTCTTGGCTCTGTTCAATATCGTGCAATCTGTCTCCGATATTGCAGCGTCAGCATTTTAGCAAGGGTGTAGCTAATATACCTTATCCGGGTACACTGCACCAGAAATAAAACAAAACTGACTCTGCAAATCCAATGACGGAAGGCACATCCTTCGGTTATCTTTGCAATCGGTCAGGCAGATGCACAGATGCCTGGATATTTAAAATGAAAGGCGGGCATCGAATAATATATTTTATATTCTCGGCAAACAGAAATTGAATAAACTTTTTGACTGGCCTCGAGGAAATTTTTTCGCGAAATGATAGTTTTAAATTTTCTCCGCATAGCAATAACTCACACTAGGAGCCCCTGTAACTTTCAATTACCGCTTATTACCAAACAAAATAACCTTTTTAACCAAACACTAAAATTACCTTTTTACAATCTCATCCGCGGAAACATTCACCATTGCACTCGCATTACCATGAAGATGCTCATTTGCATGCATATTTCCAAGCAAATTCACTATCACAAATGCAAACAAATTCACATGCATATTGCAACCCTCGCTGAAGAACAACACTGGCAGTAGTTATTAGCCTGAAGCCCTCCAGCGCCCACTTCATCTCGCAGGAGCAGCCCTTTCTTTTGTAGGAATAAATCCTAATTCAAGTTCCTGTTGCCTTGGTAGATAATTACAGCAAGGTTTATGAGAGGCAGATGGTAGCCCCCTCTAATTGCAATTTATGGCAGAATTACCCGCGGCCGACCGCACAATATTCAATGGACATCATAATCCCGAGCAAGATTTCCAATAAGACATATTCTATTTTCCCTCGCTAGCCCTCAGTCCGCTTTCCTCTCAAGTGGCCGAGCTTTCTAATGCTACACCGAGAGCCTCGCACATAATAGCTTTAATATTATGAAGGGAATTTTCGTGTAAACTTGAGTATTTGTTTTTGTTATCGTGGCCGTGCCTCGTTACTAAAGCTCTTCAAAGCTTTTATTCCTTTAGCGGGGATTTGGCAAGGGCGGTTTCGAGCGGTAAATTAATTTTTTTAGCCTTCCATTTTCAGGGTACAGTTTCGATTAAAGATTCGAAACATTTTTTTCTTTGAAATCATTCTCTTTGTAACTTTTAAATGAGGTTTTATCGTTTAAGGTTTCCAGTAAATTAATCCGTTTTTCTCGAATTGATTTATTTATTGTCAAACTTCATGTTATTTCCGAGTAATAATTTTTTGTGCCAAATTTCAGCATCAGATAACTATGTATGAATATTTGTTATTATAATTTTAAACTACGGTATGAAAAAGCCTACGAAGTTACGAGAATAAATTCCATGGTTTTAGGCCCGCAAGGCGAGAGGGTAAACAGGCTACGGGGTAGAAGGCAGGCCGAGCTTTCTCGCTTAACTATGTCAACAAGACTGAGCTCTACAAGTCCAGCTACGTCTTTTTGTAACCCAAGAAATTTACTGTACAAACTTTGCCGAAGTTTCTATTTCAAGTTCATAGTTGGCTTCCTCACGCGTCCTTAACTTATAGCTGAGCTCGTATAATTCGCTAATGATCTTGCGTGTTTTTGACATGTATAAGGCATGTGTTTCAGTTAAGTTTGATCGCCGCTGGCGCGTTATTGTTCTTTCAAACCTAATTCTCTTCATTGAATAATATTTTACATAGAAATCTAATTAGTGAATTTGAAAGAAACTTTCATTGCATAATTCTGCTTTTGTATTAAATTCGCTGGACAGCACATCTTCTGCTTTGTTTTTAATTATCAAGTGAAACCTAGCAGGATATTGGGCGTAGAACAATATTGGGTAGAACAATATTGTTTTTAGTTGAAACATATTTGGCCATCTCTAGTTAATTGCTGTACTCAGTGTTTTTGAGCGTGTTTGTTTGTTTTGGTTTAAAATTAAAGATTTTTTAGTAATAGAATAATATTGCATTTTATTTTGCATATTGTTAATTCAAAGTCAAAAATTAAAGTAAATATAATACAAAATTTAATACGTTATTGAATATCATTGCTAATTCATATGGAATAACTAGAAAAATTTCCAATTATTCAAGGAAAACCGAAATCCTTTCATTTAAATATTTGATCCGTTTCCGAGAGAAGACTTTTAATTACGGAATTTCGGTAACTTAAAAAACTCAGTAATTGTGGCTAC